AAAGGGACTTTTGGAATCCATGACTGGATCAATGAAATCCATGACCCTGGCCAAACAGGCCAGACTAACAAAAATGACGATTATGAAGACTATCTGCCGAGTGAAACTTGCAAATTCGCTGTCCTAAGAATTTAGGGGAGATAATGGATAGGGAGATAGGATGATCCTCTATCTTCCCTTCTTTTTAATCTAACCCTGGAAGTGGCTCTTCGTTCTAATCGAACTAATCCAGGTGAAACCGTCTATAATCGTCTATTTCAATATCTGGTGTATGCTGATGATATTACCATTACCTCTAGAACCCAGCAGCATTATCAGGAACTTTCCAGAAATTCGAAGAAGCAGCTGCTAAACTGAGCCTTCGAGTTAATCGAAGACATTATACATAAAAAGAAAAAGAACATGAATACTGTGGTCTGTTAATCAGTTCAAGTGCCTTGGAAGACTGGTCACATGCAGTAACAAAATAGATAGTGAAATAAAGGCCAGGATAGCAACAGGAAATAAATCCTATTTCTCACTGCAAAGAGACTTGAAATTTAGATCAATCTTTAAAAGAATCAAAATTCGCATCTACAAAACTATAGTAAGGCCAGTGGTTATGTATGGGTGTGAGACTTGGACCTTAAACAAAAACTCAAAACGCATGCTCAATGTCTGGAAGAGAAAAGTATTGAGAATAATATGGAGGGAATCTCTGAGAATGGAATTTGGAGAAGAAGAAAGAATGAAGAGCTAGAGGAACTCTATGGAGAACCTGATTTTGTGGTATTGATAAATAGAGCCCAGAAAAGATGTCCGACCAAAGAATGCCAAAGAAGATGCTCTATGAAAAGCCGGATGATAAAATAAGTAGTGGACATCGTCGGATCAGATGGTTGCAAGATGTTGACGATCAGAGGAGGCTGGGCTTGCGAAGATGACCGGAAATAGCACGAGACATTGGAGATTGTTTTACTCTAGTGGAGGAGGATGATGACCGTAACGCTATTATAATAATAATAATAATAAATTAGTTAGATTCCACAATCTTTCTAACTGCTTCAATTATTATAATCAGTCAGATTGCACTCAAGAATAATTTTTAACTAACAATTTAACTACTCTTTTCGTGAGAATGAATTTCTATAAGAAGAATTTAAGATAGATTATTAAACAGAAAAATATATGGAAAATTTAATTTTATTATTTTACATTTTTGTTTTGTAGAATACATTAATGCTATAAACTTTCTTGAGTTAAAAATTTTGATTTCAAATTTTTGTTTTCTGGACGATGCCTGGTAAAAGTTCATGTACGACCCAAGAATTATCTAATAGAAATGAAATATTACAGTGCCTTAGTATTTTAATTTTAACAATAGAATTTTCTTGACAAATACTTGAAAATATATTTCTACATCCTGACTTAAAATGGGTTCTTAATCAAATATTATATACCAAGCTTATTAAAAGAATAAAAGTGTAATTATCTCAGGTTTTAAGAAAATATGTCAAAGAAAGTGGAGCAGTTCGTTAGAATTCGTTATCTCGCCTTCATGGACTTTTGTCTCGGATAATAGCGACATTTAGCACAATTAAAGCAACTTCAATTAATTATAAATGGTTACTAATTTTAAAACTAGTATTGCGCGAAATCGCACACTGTATATATTCTCCAATCATATTTAATGCTAGCCTTATTGATATAAAAATGTAGAGAGTTTTATAAAAAAATTATTGCTAATAAATGGCTATCCAGTTTGATTTAGAAATATTTCCTTGTCAGTTATAATCGCATACTGTTCAAATCAACAGTACAGTTTAAAAGTAGGATTTTAAATCCTTCTGAAAAAGAATGAATTTTAAGAAGGCAAATTAGAAAACCTTTCCCTTTTTAAAAACAAGTAATTTAAAAAAAATGAAATCGCAGGATACACAGATTTTTATTACTCTCATCATTGAAAGAACTGTTGAAGCAAAAAAAATTGAAATAAATAAATTAAATTTCTAAAACTAGAACATTCGTTACGTCGAGGTTAATTCAAGATTAGTCAATACGATATTATTATTTTCAAATTAACAGAAAATCCATGAGGTTTTCTTGTAGTTTTTATCTTCCATGCCCGAAAACTACGCAGTATTTATGATGTAAACCATTTTTTTTTCAATTAATTTTTACACAATTTTTAAATAATTGTTTAATTGAAATTCACCATCCATGATATCTGTCAATCGATTTTACACCGATGGACAGAAATTTATTCTGAGTTTAGGAACGACATGGAAGGTTATTATTCATGAAACGTTATAAAACGCATGGAAAATAAAAAATATAAAAATAAATATATACCTATTGAATTGTTTATTGTTCAAAACATAAATAAATATAGGTAGAAAGTATATCTAAAATAAATATGTTGAGCAATTGAGAAATAATAATTGAGGCTGCATCCAGTTGATCAATCATGGATGGAACAAATGATAATTAAAGAGGCATGCTCAATTCAATCGATGTTTCTATCTATTGCCCCAAGATGTATATAATATAAATCTAACTTTGTTAATACCGCGGGTTCAGCTAATATAACAGAAATAAAAAAAAATTCAGTAATTTAATTATTATCTCATATCTATGAAAAGAAAACGATGGAAGAAATTAGAAATTAAAGAAAAAATTTTGCTAAACTCTATTCTTTTTTGGATGTGGTATTGGGATTTGTTGTTTACAATAATATTTGTCTTATCAAAATATCGATCCTCTCTGTGTGGTTTGTGTATTAAAAATTATAATGGGATCGGAGGCATAGGATAGTAATATCGAATTAAATAAATAAAATACTTCTGGGAACATTTGATGGATATATAACCTGTCCATTAGCTCCAACATGATTGAGTGAATTTAAAACATGACGACATCTTTACGAACCATTCCGACACACCACGATCAACATAAAAGGGGCCGGTAAAATTATTGAGGTAGTAAACCCTCAAATCTTAAGGTAGCCTGATTACATTTGATTCAGGATTATAAAACACTCAACATCGGCAGTCAAATGATTTAACTATTATTTCTTTCTTTCGCCCTAACTTGGGTTTAGAAATGTTGGGACTGTTGTATTTTATTTGTAATGGATATTTAACAAATATTGAAAAAATTATTTGAAAAATTGCTTCAAATTCTCCGCAGGTTGGTAGCCTAAAGTGTAAAAGACAACCCAAAAAATAATTCAAATATTGAATCAATGGAAAATGGTTGGTATTCTTCGAATTAATGATCAGTGATCTTTCTGGGTTTACATTCCTGATAATACTAAAATAAGCATAAAGCCAGAAAACAGACATAAGATGATATTAAAAATGGAAAAATCCATACAGCAAAACCACGAGTCTCCGACATACAAGTAAAAAGTTAATTTGCAAATGTTTCGTCAATTCCGGCATCGTCGGGGCGGGAAAACCAAGATCACTTATATACAAAAATAAAAAATCTGGTGTGTCCAATCATACGACTTTCCAACCTATTTCAGAAAAGTTTTTATAACTTTACATATGTCAATCAAGGAACAAAAAAAAATTGAATTACATTTATTTTTCTGACAATTGATGAAAGAAAAGATTATTAAAGCAACGTAAACCGACTTAAGGTAGATTACTGTAAACATTTCAACACTCTCTAATATTGTTGATCAAAAATTTTTAGCCATAGCTTAATTTTGTCAAACAATAATTTCTGTTAAAAGTAGAGAAAATAGTCAACTTGTGTGATGGGGGCAACAGATTTTCATACTTTCAGTTAGCAATTTTTTTTTTCTCATTTACCCCTTTCTGACACCAGGATATGAACCCGTATTCTTACATTGGAAATTGAATAGCTGTAACTTCTTCAATAGTTGTCTAAAATAAACGATTTTTATATAGTTTTGTAGGGAATTTAATTACCTTCTAAAAGATTTATTATAAATTTTGTCATATAATACATACTTAGCGAGTTAGACTCCAAAACATTTTTCTTTTCTTTATAACTTTTTTCCTGATTTTTTTCGGGAATTTAGTCCACATACAAAAATTGAAAGGACAATTATTAAAACATTATAGGAAAGTTTCATAAAAATCGTTAGACCTGTTTTAGCGCTAGAGTCTATAGAAAAACATGTTTTTAATTTATTGCGCAGCAGCTATTGCGCGGAGCACCCAATTTGTGTCACAGGCATCAGTAGTCAAAATCCTACAAAATAAAAAAAGAAGCAACAAAATCGGTTCAGTAGTTCTCGAGAAAATCTTGGCACAGACAAATGGCTAAGGATGTATTTTTCGGACTCAGGGGGAAACATATAGATCCGTCTAAAACTGCATATCGGAAATTTGACCCGATCGTAATACTTTCCTTACCTAGTATAGGTAGGAAAGTAAAAAAAAAAATATTGCAGTAGACATCTCAGGAAGCCATCCAAATACCTACTGAAGGAAAGATCTATTAACAACAACTAAAGAAGGTTATATTAAACAGCTTATTAAACGTAATACAAGAAAAAATACTGATAATATTTACTTAGTGACGTCCAATAAAGGATGTTTCGTTTAAGTTACAACATGCAAAATTACACTATGTATTTTTTATATTGAGTGGAATTTCCTAGAAGATATTTCCAGTATTGGGTTAGTCCTTTAACAAGTTTAATAAAAAAAAGAAAGCTATATAAATCAGATGTTTATTTTGTTAACTAGACATACAGGAAACAAATGCGAACAAATATTTAATTTGAAAATAAAATTTATTGTTAAACATATATTTGAACAGTTATAAAACCATACGAGAAGGCTTCAATGACGTTTGTTCATTAACAATAATATCTATAGGAAATTTAGCAATCGTTATATTCAAAATGTGACCGTTTTAACCTGTTAAGTTGTGTTGTGGATAGACCTTTAATGATACGCTGTCGTCCAGCTAATGCGTCAATTATAACTCTCCTTCTAATATTACAACGGATATCTATTACCGAACTAACAAGCAAATAGTTAGCCACTTCCTGTTTTTTTTTCTTCTCGAGACTCGAGGTCTAAAAGCGGATGAGGCAGGCCGGTTATGGTCAGTGTGTTAGTAGGGCGAACCAAGATCTCTGACCCTTGTGCTTTCGACTGCCTCGTGTTCTCCGGAAGATATGAACCATCTCGTGGACTTTCTTCAGCTCCACACGTAACACGAATACCAGATAGTAAAAGTTCCCTCTAATGTTTGATGTAAGGACTTATCAGAAAATGAAGGAAACATTTTTTTTTAATATTTAGGATATAAAAAAATGTCATGCATACAATGACAAATATAAGTATAAATTATTGAATAAAATCCTTTGATCTCTCAAATAGTAAGTTAGTAAGTAAGCACCTAACATATCCCCAATTCAGGCATTACTTATCATAGAAACTTTTTTTCTTTTATTTATTGATAAATATTACAATCTATCTCAATTAAGGACAATTATAATAGAGCACATTTACAGCATATTTACAGAATCATAAATGAATAAATTAGGTAATAACAAAATATTATACAGCGAAAGAAGTACAAAATAGATATCATAATAAAGGAAGAAAACATCTTAGACCCAGGCATGATCATAGAAACTAAAATCGTTTATTTTTTTTTTAAATTATAAATTCTTTCCATGTATGTATGGAAATATTTTGTCAAGAAAAACTATTTAACCTTTTTAAAATTTCTTTTATATTCAATCAGACAACGTCTCTAATTTACCTCTCTTCAAGTCTGCCATTTAAAAAAATATTATTCTAAATATTATATATATACTGCACCCAAAATGGGTAATCATTCTATTGCATTATATCCCCGCTTTAAGGATATCTGTGTGTATCACAACATACTTTTTTAGTTTTACAAGGATCCCGCAGAGAAAGCTATTTGAGAAACACTGCTCTACAGGCAGTTGCGCGGATGTTTTGTTTATATTCAGATATAACTTTCTTTCTGTTTTGGTTATAAGTTACATAATTAAATAAATAAGAACATTTATAATATAATATTCTTTGGTTAGCGAGAAACTGTTCAATCGAAAATACAGGTAGCTCCTGACGTCTAGCAATTTGACACGGAATCCTATATATTATTTCTAAAAGGTATTTTTTTTTGTAGGTACGCCATAACTTCGTCAATTCTTCATCAAATCTAATGATTGAACACTCATTTTGAATATAATCTTCTCCTTCACATGCAAAAAATAGTCCTATCCCCTGAATTTTTTTTGGGGGGGGGAGAAGGGGAAGTTATGAAAAAGAGGAAACTTTATTTGCGAATAACTCAAAAAGTATGCATTTTTTTTTTTCTCGATTCTACCACCCATGATAATTAGAAAGGTTACTAAATTAATTACAAAACAAAAAAAAATCGGACAATTATTAACAAAGATAAGAGTCCATTAGTTTTGGTATATTTAATTATGTCTTCCTGTTTAAAGATATTGCATTTAGGAGTAGAATAGTCTACTACGCTTTTTTTCTTGGCTGATATATTAACTTTATTATTTCTTAAAGGCATTTGTTTGTTCATAATTTTTTTTTTATAATTTAGAAAATCCCATGATCGAGGCATTATTTTGTCTTTATTACTTTTATTATCTTTCCAGTCAGCGTTTAAAAATAGGTCCTAGCAAAGGAATTTGTACAAACATTTTCGTCTATTATGTTTAATGGAATATTATCAACGACTAAGGAAAAAGCATTAATTCTTCCCTAACGTAATACCTATGATCTACTTATTGCCATATTGTTTTGCTATTTCTTTACCAAACAAAATTTTCGGCGAATTATTCGCATGGGCCAACTATTTACTTATAATATTTTATCTATTGGTTTTTATTGTTTTTCAAGATGTCTTTCCAGCCATCTAAGATTGCTACCTGTGTCATTATCTTTATAATTATTTCCAGATCACTCTGCAATTTGTAACCATATCTACCCCAATCAAGAAGTGATTCCTTAAAAGAACCAGATATGCAACAAGTAAACAAACAAAATTTTGTACCTGACAAATAACACTTGGTGTAACTCATGAATTGGTATTGAGCTTCAATAATTGGACCAATCGAGTCATAAACAGATCCAAACCAGACAAATTAACAAATCACCTGCAAACAATAAAAAAACAATTTTGTATCAAGAGGTTGATGGCGTCCTGCAAAAGTTTGAACGTATCGTCGTACTCGCTATCACCTTGAACGTAGTTAGAAGTGTTATTAGTAGCGAAACTTTTACTTTGTTAAGTGCATTTTCACTTTCTCGATAGTGATCGCATGACCAGGATCTCATTTCATGCCTTGATCCACTTTTCTTTGATTTATCATTATCCCCCCGTATGATGGTAGAACACGTATTGCCAGGAGACTTTCTGCAGGAAGACTCTACCACTCTCTAACTGGGATGACTCTTCCCATATATGGTCGGCTAATATTTTCTAGAATACTCACTACATAAATCTCAATTTTATTTTATTACAGTAGTTTTTTAACAGTTAATAACATGAGATCCTGCAATAGTTATACTATGCAAGAGTCTTAATAATTTTGGAAACCAGTTATAAGAAGTTATAGAAATAAAAAATAACGGCAATGCGGTCACTATTCATCTAATTCATCTAATCACGTTGCAGTGCAATAGAGAATTGAAACAAGAAAAACATTTCCTTTGAAAGTATGTCCGCAAACGCTTTGTTTAGGAGATATTCACACCTACATATTTTCGTTTTTATGAATTATTTACGTTATATGAAATAAATAAAACCTATTTATTTGTTCTAACTACTCAATTAATTAAATTTAAACATTAACAGTCATATTAAATGTTGTTCAAACTGATTTCCGGACTTGTGTAGACTTTTTATTCAATGTTACCCAAAAAAAAAAAATCCAGTGGTGTCAGGTCTAGAGTGCTTGCAGGCCAAGCCACTGGTCCTGCACGGCCAATCCATTGTTTGGTATATGAGATATGATTGAGCAAATCCGGTCAATGACCTTAATTCCTTGCGAAGTAGGATAATTGAATCTTGTAAAACAATAACACATATCCAGTGCCGTTCTGCCACTGCTGCTGTTGAAAAAAGATGCCGAGCCGGTCTTAATGCTCAAGGAAATCACTTTGAACAACATTTAATATGAATCTTAATATTTACATTTAATTAATAAAGTAGTTAGAACAAATAAATAGGTTTCATTTATTTCATATTACGTAAATAATTCATAACTAAACAAAGCGTTTGCGGACTTCAGAGGATTTTTTTTTCTCTTTTTTTGAGGGTCTTATGTTCATTTTTGCAGTTTGGCCACTTAACCCTGAAACAACCTGTGTAATTGTCTTTAAACATTAAATATGTAATTTTTTTTTTGTTTTTTAAACTAAGATATGTTAAAATAGTAGTTTAATAGTAATGGTACATTGGATACAGATAAAACAAATGGAATTGTTTCCAGTTGATTATTTGAGTAATGAAGATGAAGATGTCCATTCAACGAAAGGGAACAGGAGAACAAAAACTATTCTTACACCGATCTGAGTACCAGGAAAAAAAGGACGTCTTAGAAAGCGGTGGAAAAAAGATATGATTGTAGAATATCTCCTGGAGGATTAAAATAAGATTCTCTTGTATCTTACAGATATATATATATATAATAAGTAGAACGTGAGTACTTAGCAAGGAGAATGAGAGGAAAACCCGAAGATACTTATCAGAGCCTACAATGAAGGATGGCGTCTCACACCAAAGAAAGAATAAAGAATGTCCTTAATTTATATATGAAGATTTCTTAATCTAATAGAAATCTCAAAAAAATTATCAAGAAATAATAAATTGTATAAAACTTAAATCGATTGAAATAGATTTTTGGAGACATAGTTTTAGAATATATAGACTACAACACGTTCCAAATAACGCAATCAGTGAAACAAATAAAATAACTCCTTACCATCTCATATAGGAGTATACTCCATTGAGAGAAAAAATATTAGTTGGTTTGGACATGTCAGGAGAATGTCGGACGACCGATGGCCTAATAGGATGGTTAAGCACGTACCATCGGACTGGAGGAAAAGAGATGGATGAAAGGAGAATATATGAAGGCAATGATAACAAGATGACATTGCTAAGATAAAAAGAAATGGCGCCATGGTATATCAGCCCACGCCATATAACTTCTTGTTCTAATAAAGTCGTTTGTATATAAATATCAAATCGGTTAAAACCTTATATTTGCATAATATGTTTAATAATCAAGAAAAAAGTAAAATGTTGTAAATGGTCACATCTTCATACAACGGATTTTTTATGTAATCTTAGCGTTCCTTCCAATTCTGAATTAACCACAACAACCCGTGATGATATACTAATCATAGTTGTTCAGAAGCAAGCGATGTCTTCAAAAAATATTATTGCCACAATAATAACAATAAGGCCAACAGCGACAAAGATATTTTTTAAAATAACTTTTTTGGACAATATGGAAGCTAGAAAGTTAAATTAAGTTAGATTCCAAATTATTTTTCGACCATAACGTATTATTCCTCTGCTAAAAGGTATTTGAGCACCAAAATGAAAAGATTCATGACAATTTATAGATTCCAAAAAAATTATTGAATTTAGTTAATTAACAAAATGGCATTATTTTTTAAACAGATACAGTGAGAGAAGCCGTAGGACAATACAGCTCACATTCATTCATGACCATTTAACATTTTATGAATGAGCGTCTTTACGCAATATTGCCAACATGGGAAGCTCAACCTCAGTTACCTTAATGGCTTCCCATTCAGCCCAAGCCCGTTCATCGTCCCCTTTTCGGAAAGTGAGGGTAGGAGTGTTTTTCATTCAAGAGAAAACTGTCTTATCATAACTACATTCCTAAAGATGTGTACTTTCGGTTTCATTCCCTCCTTTGAAAAGGATGACATTACTAACAATAGTTATCCGGAAAGTGAATAATGTCATAAGGAAATAACCTTCAAGAATATAATCAACAAAGAAAAGACCTTTTTTTAAGCAGTGATGTTTACAAGAAAGAGAATAAGCGGAAATTCTACCATAGGTCAAAACTATCATGAATATGTTTAACTGCATGACGTTACAAATTTACTGAAGTTAACAGCTCATACTTCCAACAGGCAAATGTATCTATCAGACACATAGTCCAAATTTTTGTCTAATTTTTTTTAAATATAAGAGAGGTATAAATCTACTATTTTTTATGTCATGCTCTTATTTCACTTCAAACTGTGTCTTCGTACATTAAAGAGGAAGCGAGAAAGGCGTGTTTGGAATCCACCATTCAAGTCCTTATTAACTATTTATTTTTCTTGAGTTATTTTTAAATATTAAAATTTTTTTTAATGTAAAATATTTTTATGTTTCTTTAATATGACAAATCCATTTGAGACACTTTATGACCAGAAATTAATACGCCCAAGCAATTTGTTTGGATTCCAAAAGGAGGCAAAAAAAATTTTTATATATAACAAAAAGTTAAAAATGTTTTTGAAATATTCATTACTTTCAATAATACAAATAATGATGAAGAAACAAGAGAGCTAAAAAAAAATTATGAATTTTTATAATCTTACTAAACGTGGAATTTTTATGTTGTTTTTTTTATCGAGAATTTCAGAACGACAAATCGATTTATAATCTATAAACATCAGGAATAGTACGAAGCAAATGAAAGTAACAGGATAACCCACTATAAAAGTTTTCAATTCAGCCAATCAGAGGTAGGCAAAATTTGTCTTTTTAATTCAGAACTAAAAAATCAAAATTACTCATTTGCTATTCCCTTGAATTACAGCATAATTTGGTCACGAAATCGAGAAAAAAGATGGCATACAAAAATATTCGACCGTTTGGTGTGACTTCCACTCCCAAGCTTATATAGGACAAACAGCCAAATATTTTTGTAGACCACCTTTTTACTTTCACTTGCCTATATATGTAATACGTAGTAAGAGGAAGTATTGCGATCGTGAAAATCTTCGAATTATCAACGGAAATACATGATTTGAGTTCCTCTGAGTTCTATTCAGACTATTTAGCGGATTATTACCAAGTTCCGCAAAATGGTCTGTGTCTGTGTGTCTGTATATGATAGGGTTTTTTTTTATTTTAGTGGTCTTAATGATTTGTTAGCTGTAAGCTACAAGCTATAGATGCGTTAAAAGTGCACTTCAAAAATTGTATAATTGTAAACATTGAAGAAAATGAATTTCGAATTCAAAGTGAAAAGGTATACGTATAATGTATCGTTGGAAAGCCAAGATTTTTATTTTATGATTATGTTGAGATTAAATAGGAAGGCAAATGGGTATTTGTGAGTTTTTAGTATCTCGTTAAATTGAGATGAAACCATTCATGAAGTTTGAGGCCGATTTTAATAATTTGAGAAAAATGGGTCTGTACTGACTTAGGAGGTGCGCCTTTAGGAAGGCTACAAGTGATGTGTTTTTTTTTTTAATATAGAATTTGATAACTTCTGAGAGAAATATTATTTTAAGATAAGATAAAACATTCTTTTTATTGTTTTGATTTTAATTAAAAAATAAAATAAGATCAGTAAAATTAAGATTGTTTAAAAGATTAAAAAGAATTTGTAGAATGTAAAATATTATTTATATATAATTATACCGCAGTGCCGCTGTGACCTAACCAAGCCAGACTTTTTTATTCATATTCAGAACACCACTCAATCGTCTTATTCTCATTTTCTTAAAACAAGAAAATATACCTGTTTCATCAATAGAACCATAAAGTTTCATTTTAATGGGTATTGATTTTGTTAGTCAGACCCAAAAATTTTGTTGAATATATTTATCGAACAAGATTTTTGTTAAAGCAAAAAATTTATTAAAAATTAAAGGTTGCTATTAGTGTGATTGAGTTGTTAAATACACTGTTAAATATCTCTCTGCTTATAATCTAAGCTGCATAAAACTGAACAAATGTCTTCCCACCATAAATTCTTTTAAGAGTAGCGGGTATTTCCAAAATAGGAAATGGAGAGATCGAGAAATTTCCCCGCGACTAGTGGTCAAACGCTTCGCTCCAAAAAGAGAGCTGTTTGATTACCTCCTTGAGTAACATTCTCTGTGGCTCGTAAAATCTAAATATTTGGAAAAAGATAAACTGTATTAATAGTAGTATGTGTATTATATATTCATATATAATATAATAAGTGATTCATTATATATATATATATATATATAATTCAATCAATATGGACAAGATAATAAACAAATGTTGGAAGGCTACTTTCTAATAAGGCAAATCAAAGTAATTAAAGAAGACATTAACTGCCATAATGCTTATACAACTTTCTTCCAAAAAAAAAAAAGAAGAAGAACTTGAAGTGAACAAGGACATATATCGAAGTCATAAAGTCTTCTTCCGCATACCGTAATAGGCAATGGCAGTTCAACTTCCAGAACTACTTCAAGGAATCTTTCCTCCACATATAATTGGAAGGAAAAAAACTATAATTTATTCACAAAAACTATTGATACGTCATTTTATTTATTCAAAGTATAGATCCATTCATCTTTTACCTCAGCTGCTTTGTATGTTAAGCTAAAGCTAACATTTTAATTTGCTTTTATCTTTTAACTATTCTATTCTATTCTATTCTATTCAGTCGACGATGTCGAGTCTTGGCCTCCTGTGCCAGCCTCCACCAATTTTTCCTATCCTGTGCAGAGATTGTTCCTATCTTTTAACTAGCGAATTGAAATCATAGAAAAATTATTAAATATGCTTAATAGTGGTAAAACTATTTTATTGAAAGCAGACGTTTCGACCTGACTTTGCAAGTCTTCTTCAGGGAGGTGTGTTCAGCAAGGAGTTTCACTTAAACCTACTAGAACCCAGTTAGTGAAACTCCTAGCTGAACACACCTCCCTGAAGAAGACCTGCAAAGTCGAGTCGAAAAGTCGGCTTTCAATAAAATAGTTTTGCCATTATTTAGCCTATTTATGACCGCCAGCCTGGACCATCTCCTTCGTTTATAACGCAACGGTCAACTATTAAATATTCAATAAAAAAATTATGATAGTAATAGTCGTCAACAAATATAAGTTTTTGCCATCTTCATCTGCCCTGCCAGCCTCCTTCATGCATTAATAAAATGGACATTTTTCATTTTTAAATTAATTAATAAATAATTAAAATCCCAAAAATAAGATATTAGATAATAATTTTTTTTTAAAGTGACGGGAACCCCAGCTGTAATTAAAAATCTCTAATTTCTTTCCACCAAATCGTCATCTGTTTCCGAGGTCTCGCTCCTGAAAGGCCTTCCAAGCCATCGATCTTTGATTCGGTTATGTGGAATTCGCTTAACATGGCCATTAGAGCTAGTGTTTTCCCAATGCGGGACCAAGACGAGTCATGGTCTTGTACAGTCGGTCTTGGTCTTGCGCAAGAGTCTCGTAACCGTCTTGCAGTTACCTATTAGCTTATTACTATAGAGATATTACTCCGTTTTTTAGACAGGAGAAACCTAAATAAACCAGAATGAAAAATTAAAAGAGTTAAATGGAAAAGTATATTGGTTATACCAATTCTTTACATACAATAACTAAAATTGTCAAATATTAGTAACTATTTTACCTTTATGTTATTCAAAAATCAATTTTTTTTACCAGTCTTGGTCTTGATCTTGATCTTGCAAAGTGTAAAACCAAGACCGATTTTGGGCAACACTAATTATGACCTATGCTCTGCTTCTTTATAATATTCTCCATTCCTTGCATGTCCATTTTGCTACTTATTATCGTGTTTCTAATCTTGTCTCTCCTGGCGCATCATTCTGTCCTTCTTAGGTGCCTCATTTTCATAATCCTTTCTTGTTCATTGATATCAAAGTACCTGATTCTGATGAGCATATTAGTACTAGGAGAAAACTTGAGTTAGTGCTTTTGGTAATTTATATTGAGAAATCTCTCTTTAATGGCACTGAAAAGTCTTGCTGCTGCAGTAATAATCTTCACGTCAATGCAACATCAAAAGCATCAATGCAACAGTTTTCACCAAGTTGGGCACCTAGATACTTGAAGCGGTCCACTTGTTCCAAATTAACAACTGTTAACCTTCATCTTCCCCATGACCTCTCCCCTCTCCCCCCCCCCCAATACATATTGACCAAGTTTTGTTATTTATTTTTATAATTTGTTTATTTTATTTTTTTTTATCCTGTACTGAAAATATATTTAGTATTACATACATATGCCGATGACACATGTATCCTATCAGTCAATAACGATCCATCTATTGCATCCCAAACTCTTCAATCACACATCACAAGTCTTGAAAAATGGTGTAAAAACTGGAGGAATTAAAATAAACTCCAATAAATCCCATCAAATTACCTTTACTCTTCGTCGTAAACCTATGACTTCCTGTCCTACAGTATCCTTTAACAATACCCCACTTATCCCTGTTGGCCAAATCCGATACCTAGGACTCCACCTTGACAAACGACTCACTTGGAACCCCCATACCAGACAGAAACGACTAGAAACCGCCCGACGTTTCCGACTACTCCAGCACTTACTAGACAAACGCTCTAAACTGCCAACTATTTACAAAAGACTCATATATATTACTATAATAAGGCCTATTTGGACTTACGGGATCGAGCTTTGGGGCTCTACTAAACCATCAAATTCCTCTCGTATCCAATCCCTACAATCCAAAATCCTTCGTAAAATCCTTAATGCTCCCTACTTTGTCACAAATAAAATCATCCATAATGACCTTAATGTACCATATGTTTCCGATTTAGCTCAATCCAGATACCTGTCCTTTCATAATAAACTTCTGAACCATCC